GATGTTGAGGTGGATCCGTGAACGTATTTTGGACTTGAAGAACAAGAGGGCATACAAAGTCCTGAGTGAACCGCCGTGGTATCAACAGGCTCCTTGTGCAAACGAGTGCCGTTTATGTCGAGGAAACTGTGAATGTTTGTCGTAACACGTTAGAGAGGTATATGACCGAGATCACTCACACCATGGTAGAAATCGATACTCAGGATGCGACAAGGAGGTATGCGAGGGCCGTGAAAACTGGGCTTGAAGTTATGAACAACAACGCTGTTGATGTCCCAGAGCTGAGGCTGAATATCGCGAGTATGAGGTTTCAAATGAGGGAGTTAAGAGAAATCCAGGACTTCGTCAATAAGGAAGATGCTTGAGGTTGAGGTTAGATTAATTTGGAGAGTGAATTGGATATCTCATCTAGTTGTTTCTTTCAAATTTTATTTTCCACTTATGACATTAGTTAGCTAAGTTCCTACGAATTGTACATTTGTTATGACATTTATGTGCTAAGTTCCTACGAAAAAAAAACTTTTTATTATACTTCCTTATCAATTTTTTTTTTATTTAGATCATATAATTATAGTTTTAAACAATAACAACAAAAAACTAACAACATAAATTTGTACACATGGCATTCTTGTGAGCACTTCCGAAGTAAGCGTCGGGATCTCTACCTCAACTCTCAATATGTTTTGGAGACAAATGAATCATGTTTGGTCAAATTCCTCCACGTTTGAGAAGCCATCCAAGAACTGGAGTGCTACACGTTTTGTAACGTTGTCACTACTCATCTGTTGGTACCCTAGACAACAATAATTTGTACCAAAGAGAATCGGAAGGTTGCATCCGAGGTATTCACATCGAAGTCTGTAGTGTGTGGATAATTTGTACAGACCATATGGTAGGAGAATGGAGAATAAAGCATTTGTAGTATTTTGATCATAAAATAAGAGTGAAACGAACACACATAAGCCTTAAAATCTATTAGCTAGTATATTCTATTATAATAAATAATAAATCACAAGTAAATCTCTAACAAGCTGCAATTTTTTCTATTTGCCACGCGACAAAACTCTCAAATTCTACTCTTCCATCTTTTACGGTAGCGACAGACTTTATTTCTCTTAATTTCATATTAAAAAAATCAAATTCCATCAGCTTATTCAACTGTTTTTTTCTTCTAAATACCTTCTGCCATCTTTCGCGTGTTTGC